AGTGTCCAAAAGAAGGCTCAGATCACCCTCTAACAGCTCCACTAGTTAGAGTATGTCTTGACACCTGGAACCTGACACATATCCTCAGAATGAGTGCAAGCCATCTGTGGTTTGCCCTCCACCCCCACCCCACCAAGCAGCAGCTTCCTTCTTTTTGGGGAATGACCAGGTTTTGTGGAATATGGGTACCAAATTTAGGGGCTCATTGCAAAGCCCTTATTAAACAACAAAGAGGCCTGAAAATGAGCGAATGAATGGACTCGGAAATGACAGAACTCTTTGCCAAGCTAAAATAGGCCCTTACCCAGGCTCCAACTCTTGGCACCCCAGACCTAACTAAGCCCTTCCCTTGTATGTAGCAGAGAATAAGGGCATAGCTGTGGGAGTGCTACCTAGCCCAGAAATTCGGATCAGAACACAGACCAAATGCCTACTTTTCAAAGAAGTTGGAGAGAATGGCCTCAGGATGCCCAGGTTGCCTGAGGGGAACAGCAGCCACTGCTATGTTAGTGGAGGAAGCTGCTAAAATCACCCTGGGCCAACTACTGTAAGTTCTAACCCCTCCATCAGGTCAAGTCAGTCTGAGAGATAAAGGGACACGTTTGGATGATGGGGGAAAGGTTAACCAAATGCCAGGCCATGCTCCTAGACAATCCGGATGTAACCCTTAAAACTTGTAACCCTTCTAATCCAGCTTCACTGATACCCTATAGCTGATCATTCCTGTGAGCAAGTCATTGCACACACATATGTTAGCTGGCCTAATTTAAAAGATCAGCCTCTCCCAGATTCTGAAGGCTGGCTCCCAGGTGGCAGTTCTATGTGAAATGGAGAGCACTGAGCTGGGTATGCGATAGTCAATGCCATTCTTAGAGCCCAGCCACTGCCCCTGGCACATCAGCACAAAAGGCTGAAATCATTGCTCCTACCTGAGCATTAATGTTGAGACAAAAGAAAAAGCTTAACATCTATACAGATTTTAAATACGCATTTCTTGTGGTTCACGCTCATGCTACAATCTAGAAAGAAAGGGGATCACTAGCTAGCAAACGCTCCCCCGTAAAGCATGGGCCCAAAATTCTTTAGCTATTGGAAGCAATACACCTGCCAAAGGCTGCAGCTATAATCCACTGCAGGGGGCATCAAAGGGACTAACCCCTGTAGTGCAAGGGAACAGAAGCACTGATAGAGAAGCCAAAGCTACAGGCCTCGGGACGCAATCCCAACAGATCCTAGCACTGCTTCCTTTCTGTGATTTCCCAGTAGAACCTGAGTATACACTACAGGAAGAACAGTTAGTAAAGGAGCAAGGGAGGCAAAAACAAGGATCCCGGTGGTGTGCGGCATCAAAAATTCGTCTCCCTCAAACAGCCCAGTGGAGAATTATAAAAACCCTGCATGAGTCCTTCCTTACGGGGAAAGGTGCCGCCCTGGCCATGCTTAACAGGCTTTTCATTGGGCCTGACTCGGCTTCAGTGGTTAAGCAGGTCTGTCGAGCCTGCTCATTGTGTGCACTTGACAGCCCGGGAAACAAAATGCCTCCTCTAATAGAACCAGTCCAGAGGAGGGGAACTTACCAAGGGGAGGACTGGCACTTAGAGGACCAGCTGGAAGAGGATACAGGTTTTTGTTAGTGCTAATAGATACCTTTACTGGTTGGGTCGAAGCTTACCCTACCAGAACAGAGAAGGCTAGTGAGGTTATAAGGTTCTCTTCAAAGAAATAATCCCCCTGTTTGGGTTACCTCAGAGTCTCCAGAGTGATAATGGCACATCATTTATCTCCCAAATAACTGAAGGGGTGGCTAAGGCGCTTGGAATCCAGTACTATTTACATTCAGCGTGGAGGCCTCAATCCTCCAGGAAAGCAGAAAGGACTAACCAAACTCTAAAGCGAGCATTAGCTAAACTATGTCAGGAAACATCAAAAACTTGGCTCAGCACCCATAGCTCTCTTAAGGATCCTTCATACCCCTAGAGCAAAAATTAATATAACCTATAAGGCCATTCTTAACTAATGATCTGATTACTGATCCAGAAACAGCTGGTTTAGTAAAATACCTAGTTAACCTAGGACAATTTCAGGTTTTACAAAAGTTTAGAACTCAAAGGCTCCCCATCCCGGGAACTAACCAGCAACCCGAAATTAGGCTGAGGGATAAGGTAGTCGTTAAAACATGGAAGGAGGGGTCACCTGCTCAACAATCGCGACCCCAATGGAAGGGATCGTTTTCAGTGGTACTGTCTACGGCTTCTATGGTCAAGGTACTAGGATTAAGGTAGTTGGGTACATCTTTCAAGGATCAAGTCTGTGATACCCAAAGCCCTGGACCAGGAGCTTGAAGTACCTGTTTAGAAGGCAGCCGAAAGACAAGTAAATGCCTACCAACTTTCCTTGGTGTTTCTGTCGCATAGCTACTGTAGGCTGGATAATGGCAGACATGTTTTTATTTATTTAATTTTTCAGTTTAATTGCTTTCTGTCAAATGACTGGAATCACTTCCTTTGTAGTGACTAAGCAGAATGTTGTGATTCATTCCTATAACAAACATTCCTGACAGCAGAGGTATCTACCTGCTCAAGTTTCCACCAGATCTTTTAACCAAATTCATTTCCTCTCACCTAGAGAGCATCAGGCTTCAGATGATCATGTGGCAAGCTTTCCAGCCGATTCCAAATAAAGACAGCACCCCAGCCATCAAGAAACTACCCTGACTGTCTCCACTGGATGGATCAGGGCGGGAGTTCTGAGATCCCCAGTAGGTAAGACTGCGCCTCAAGTCAGTGTGAAGCAGTTACAGAAGAAAGACCATGAGTCCTCCTGTCTCCCATAAAGATTTCTGGGGATCATGTCTCTTGGGGAAAATGAGGCAGGAAACCTAAGGCTGAAGCATGCTGACTGGATATCCGAGGCAACACCCTTTTCAACCGTACCTTTTTCTGCATGGCAGTTGCTGCCTGACCGTTGGAAATTAAAGTACCTCTGATTGATCCCCTCCTACAACCAATCAGACTGGTCATGAGCCTACTCCGCCCCTCCTGCAACCAATCAGACTAGTAGGAGGCCTACTCTTCCCCTCCTGCAACCAATCAGACTGGTTGTGGCTACTACTTTGTTTGCAAAGAGGGAACCAATGGGAAACACCTGGAGGGTATTTAAACCCCAGAAAATTCTGTGGCCCAGGCTCTTGAGCTGTCTGCTGGAGCCTGCTCCTACCCTGTGGAGTGTACTTTTGCTCTGGCTGCCTTGCTTTATGCATTTTGTCCAGTTCTTTGTTCAAAACGCCAAGAACCTGGACAGCTACCCTCAACCAGTAACAGATGGGCTGAGCATAGGTTCCCAGTGCCACCTCCACTTTGCCAGGAGGGAGCTGGAAGCCAGCACTGGGCCCTTGACCTTCCTGGGTGGCCCCCAGGACCCAGCTCAACTGATTAGGAGGAGGGGTGAGCCTCAGAGCCCTAAAAGCCTGGCCCTGAGGTGGGCCCAGTACTGTTGGCCTGGCTGTGGCCAGGACTGGGGTGGAGGGCAGTGGGAGGTGGGCTTCAGGAACCCCACCAACAGTCCCCCACCTTCTTCCCACACCACCCCACATCCACTCATACTGTGGGCCCTTCCCAGTCCCTTAGTGGATGTGTGGGGCTAGGACAGGCGGCTTTGCTGGGGGAGGGAGGCTGGGGTTCGGATCAGCTGAAATCAAAGCCACAGCTCCCCTCCCTGCCACACCGCACCCCTGCCGAGCGCAGTGCACCTCCTCCTTTGTCACAATGTTTTTCAATCCAGTGAAGCAAACTGTCCAATTAGAGCCGGGGCCTCCGGCTTCCATCTTTGCTGATGTTTAATTAACATGCTCCTCTTGGCAGCTGCTGACAAGTTCCAGAAACAGGTTGTAAAGGGTTTTTGTCTTTACCCAGCATGGAAAATGAGGGGTGTTACATCGAGGGAACATGAATAGATTGCATTTCAGCTCCCTCCTTCCTCTCCTCCCTACACTGGAGAGAGGCATGCAGCCCTGTGTGTGTGTGTGTGTGTGAATTGCAAGGGGGTAGGGAGGGCGGAGTTGGAGGCTGAGAGACCTCCTCCCTCTTCCCTCACCTCTTCTTCCCAGGAGCCTTTGCTCCACGAAAGATCTGGATTCCATGCCTTATTCTCTAGCTGGCACACTTTTGCGTCACCTCTCTTGTAGTCAGTAGCAGACCTGCCCATGGGTTTGTGTCCGTGCTGTTCCTTTGCCATCCTTCTGGTAAACTCCTATTCACCCTCCAGAACCCTGCTCAGGTGACCCTGCTTTGGGAAGCCAACTGGGCACAGACTGCCTGTCCAGCCACACCTGTCAGAGGTCAGAGTGGATTCTGTGCATCAGGTCTGTCCCTCAGCTAGACTGTGAGCACCTGAGGGCAGGAAGTATGTATTACTCTGCCCAGGGTGCTGGTGGGCCTGGGAGATCCAGTGGCCTCCTCAAGTCTTCCCTCACTGTCCAGGGAGAAGAAGGCTGGCTTGGCAGAGAGGAAGAATGGAAGGGATGGGGAGGAGGAATCCCTCTGTCTCCCATAAAGATTTCTGGGATCATGTCTCTCGGGGGTGGGGGGCGGGGAAGAATGAGGCAGGAGAACAGTGTCTGGAGGCAGGAAACCTAAGGCTGATTCACACTGACTGGATATCAGAGGCAACTCCCTTTTCAACCTGCCTTTTTCTGCATGGCAGTTGCTGCCCAGAGCAGGACCATATGGAGGGCCCCACAGGGATGCCAGCTTTCTTAAGGGCTGAGTTTCTGGAGTAGGTGATGGAGGGGCCCTGAAGCAAGATCCCAGCCCAGAGCTGAGCCCTGCTGTGTGCCCCAGGCTGAAGGAGGCTCCAGCACCCAGGTGTTGCCTCTTCAGCCTGGGATGGTTTTTCTTTTAGTGTACGTGGTACCCTTGGATGAAGGTAAGGGCTGGGGCAGAAGCAGGTCTCTGGGGTCCTTTTCTCTCTCAAACTGTCCGCACTGGAGCATTCACACCCACTTTACAAAGGACATCAAGAATGTTTATTCCTGGAGGCTACCACCTACATGACACGGAGCAGTCTGGGGGACCCAGGGAGCACAGGAGATGCTGGCTGCGGCACAGGCAGGGGTAGAAGAGCCTCAGAGGTGGTGACTGGCACTAAGTTGTTCCCTGGAAGAGCTCAGGTTCACCCCCAGGCCCCAGCCCCACTCTGGACCCGTGTTTCTCCAACGTGGTCAAGGCCCAGGACAGAAGCAGAACTTTTGCAGCTAGAACCTGGCTTGGACACCCACTTTGTAGCTTCTCCTCCATTCTCAGGCAGACTCCCTGGGATGAAGGGGAGGGGTGGGATGGAGGCTCATGGGGCCAGGCCAGCGGTGGGGATGCTGCTTGCTAGCTCTTTTTCTCCAGGTAGGTCAGCACCAGCTCCCCTGGAGCCCCGTGACAGTCTGCAGCCTGCAGGGAAACAGCCAAGATCAGTGGGTCACTGCTGGGCCCTGCTGCAGCCTCTTGGGCACGATTTTCTTTTCTGGATGGGGTGGAGATTCAAGGCAATGGGGCAGAGACCCTCCTTCCTCTTTCCTGGCACCCTAACATCCTCTTGCCACATCAGCCTCTTGCCCCAGACCCAGCTATTTCCAAGCTCCGGCCTCCAAGGAAGTTAAATAATAATAACAGTAACAATGACCAGCAAGGACCCAGCTTCTCCACTTGCTGGCTGTGTGATCTTGAGGAACTTGAACTGCCCTGAGCCTCAGTTTCCTCATCTATTAGAAAGAGGGCAGTCATTCTACTTGCCATGCAGAGATCTTGGGAAGGTGAGATGTGGAAGCCATGAGCATGGGCTTGGTGCCTTCCACAGAGGAGGCAAAGTGTGAGTTGATGGAAGGAAGGAGGAAAGGGTGGGTCTCATCTGAGCTGTGCAACTGAATACAGCCAGACCTTTTATAGATGAGGAAATCGAGGCTCAGCCTCTAGGGTGAGATCTTCAAAGTCACAGCCAGCAGGCACAGTCACATAGCCAAGTGTGCCCCAGGTCTCCTTCCCTGTGCCTCCCAGGCCCTCACACCTTTGAATGTTCTGCATCTGTCCCGGATGTGCATTGTCGGACTCAGAAGTTCCCCTGCAAACCCAGTGTGCCCACTGTACCCAGGCAGGAGGGGTGGGAGCCCTCGTTTCTTGATGTTTGCTTTTTTCCTCTTTACCGGCAGCATCTGATTCTGAGAGCTGGGCCCCCACTGGGAGAACCTCCCTGTCATCCCCACAGACCAAGCCCATGCTCACCTGCTCTTCAGGGGGCCCTGGGTGCCTAGGGTACCAAGGGTACCGAGGAAGCCATGGGTAGTGGGGATGTCATGGATACTGAGGGCACTGAGGATGCTGAGGGCTTGAAGGTGGGGTCCTCAGGGATGTAGACAGTGCTGTTCCCTTTAGGAATCTGCAGAGAGAGGATGCAACTCCGAGGGCCCTGTCCCAGGCCAGGCAGGGTGTCCCTGGCAACTAGAATATCCTGGAGCTGCAAATGGTGTGTGGCGAGCGCCACCTTGTGATTACCGTGCAGATCACCTGCCACAGAGAGCAAGGTGGTCCTTCGACACCGGTGTCCTGCCCCTACCCCATACTAGGCACTGTCCTTGGTGCTGGGGCGTGGCAAGGATGAGATGGGGTCCTTGCCTCACGAGAGCAATGGTGAGGCATTCCCGTGAAATACCCAGAGACAGTAAGCGTTGTAATTTCACATGAGAGGCTTATAACCCAGCCTGGGGGGTGCTGAGAAGGTGTACTGAACCACTTTTAAAAGATGAGTAGGAGTAAAGGCCAGATGTCAGGTAAGAGGCAGTATGTTAAGCTCTGTCAACTGCAGGCGGGTCTGAAAGGGGGGTTGGGAAGGTGCAGGGAAGGCCAGAAGTGGGTAGAGAGGTGGAGTGTGGGTGGGGCAGGTCAGCCCTGCCTTGCCTCCTGGGGAACGTTGGTCCAATCCCCATCCTCTGAGAAGCCACCTCACTTCCAAGGTAAACCCCCCAGGGGCTCAGGGACTGCCTGATGCTGTTCCTTACTTTGGCATGGAATTTCATTCTCAACCAGGTGCAGCCAGCCCACCACACCCATGGGTTTTGTATCAGTGGGTTACACCTACCACAGGTTGAAAATATTCAGAAAAAGCAACAAAAAATGACAATACAACAACAAAAAATACAAATAAGATGACATTTACATTGTGTTAGGTGTTATGAGTAATCTAGAGATTATGTAAAACATATGGGAGGAGACATGTAGGCTTATATGCAAATACTATGCCAATTTCTATCAGGGGCTTGCGCATCCCAGTGAGGGATCCTGCAACCAATCCTGAGAGGTTACTGGGGGACAGCTGTCCTGTTCAAGGTGTACAGAGCTGAGAGGTGTGAACTTGGAATAAATTATAAAGACCAAAACGGAACCAAGAGGGAACTTCTATTTGGGGGAACTGATAACATTTCTGATGTATATCATTAGCGTAAAATCTGTGTGGTTTCTAATTGTGGTGTCTAAAATAGTTTAAGTTCTAACCATTAGATATAGACTAGAAATAATTATGCTGTAAGAAAAAGTTTATTGGCAATGTAATAACACAGAACAATCCTTATGATAGGTAAGGAGAAAGAGAAGGATACCAAATCGGGTGAATAATATAATCTCAGCTGTGTAAAAAAAAATCTATGCAAAGAAAAGGAAGGAAATATTCCAGAAAATATTAATATTGCTTGATATAGGGTGATGAGATTTCTATTTTTCTCTATTTCTGGATTTTCTTTAATGAGCATCTAGTCATTTTTAATTTACAAAATTTTTAGGAATTTAAGAGACATTCATTATGTGCATGAAATTAGCTTATTGTAGATATTAAATTTACCCTGAAAACTTCTGGTATGGTTTTAAAAAGACTGAGCCAAGTGAAAGGCATTATGGGTGGTCCCTTGTCCCAGGAGCTATAGACACAGGCCAGTCCTCACACTTGTCATGGGGGGACAGTGCAGGAGGCATGAGGGGAGTCCTGCCACCCTCCCTCATCCAGTGGCAGGGAGGCATGTCCAATCATGATTCATAGGGAGAGGCCAGCCTGAAGTCACAGAAAGCCCAGACTGCGGCATGTTCTTAAGGAAACTGAGTTCTGCGGCATTCCACAACTTTCAAATCTACAACAATGTTTCTCAAGCTGCTGGAAGTGGTGGAGTGTTGCAGAGCTCTGGTTTTTTTTTTTTGAGACAGTCTGGCTCTGTTGCCCAGGCTAGAGTGCAGTGTGGAGATATTGGCTCACTGCAACATCCACCCCCTGGGGTTCAAGGATTTCTCCTGCTTCAGCCTCCTGGGTAGCTGCGATTACAGGCATGAGACACTGAGCCTGGCTAATTTCTGTATTTTTAGTAGAGATGGGGTTTTACCGTGTTGGCCACACTGGTCTCAAACTCCTGATCTCAAGGGATTTCCCTGCTTTGGCTTTTCAAAGTGCTGGGATTATAGGCATGAGCCTCCACACCCAGTCCAGAATTCAGTTTCTGTAACAGAATCACCTGGGAGCTTGTCACTTGCAGTCCCGGGCCCTACTGAATCAGAACCTCTGGGGTGGTGTCTGGGAAGGTCTCCAGGTGGTTCTTATGGAGATGGAAGCTGAGCACTGCACTGTGATTTCCAACCCAGGCTGGCTGTCTTTCTCTCTCTCTCTTTTTTTTTTTTTTTTTTTTTTTTTCTTCTTTTTGTTTTTTTGTTTTTTTTTATTGTCTCTAACTCTGTTGTAAAGGCTGGAGTGCAGTGGTGCAATCTTGACTCTGCAACCTTCACCTTCCCAGTTCAAGCGATTCTCCTGCCTCAGCCTCCCGAGTAGCTGGGATTACAGGCATGCGCCACCATGCCTGGCTGATTTTTGTATTTTTAGTAGAGATGGGGTTTCACCATGTTGGTCAGACTGGTCTTGAACTCCTGACCTTGTGATCCACCCACCTCGGCCTCCCAAAGTGTTGGGATTACAAGCATGAGCCACCGTGCCCAGACTATTCTTTCTTTCTTTCTTATAGGGTCTTGCTCTATTCCCCAGGCCGGAGTGCAGTGGCACCATCATAGCTCACTTTAGCCTCCACCTCCTGGACTCAAGTGATCCTCCTGCCTCAGCCTCCAGAATAACTGGGACTACAGATGCATGCCACTACATCTGGCTAATTTTTCTACTTTTTTTTGTAGAGAGAGGGTCTCCCTATGTTGCCCAGGCTAGTCTCAAACCCTTGTGCTCCAGCAGTCCTCCTGCTTCGGCCTCCCAGTGTGGGGATTAGTCATGAGTTACTGCACCCAGTGAAAATTGGCTCTTCTAACCAGTTTTCAATGCTGATGGTGCTGGCCACCATACCATGGGGACCACTGTGCTAGAATAAATCTGACTAAGTCTTTAGGGACAAGAGTAAACTCCAGCTGCAGCCCTGAGCTTGCTTCTGTCACCCCCCAACCCCAGGATTGCAGAAAGAGAGGTACACACCACCCACTCCAAGCCCTGGGGTCTAGAAGGAAGAGGAGGGAAGAGTCTTCAACTCTTTGAGATGTAGCCTTTCCCAATGAGGCAGGGTGATGCAGGGTCTGACCCCCAGCCCTGGTGTCTGACTTCCCAGGCCCCAGCCCAGCTGATGCTGGTGGAGGTGGGAAGGGAATGCCTCTGGCCTCCTTCAGGGGGGCAAATCCATAGAGCTCACCTCCCAGTAGACCGCATCCTCAAAGCAGTTCTCATCTGAAGGTTGTCCCCAGAATGGTAATCTCAAAATAAGCCCTACAGAAAGTTGGAGATCACAGGATGTCAGGAAATGCTTTCTCTCTGCCCACCCCAGCCATTTCTCTAGGCTGGGAGAATCCTCCTGGGGCCCTTGGGCTGAGGTTCAAATCTCCCCAGTCCCGTAGCCGGAAGTGCAGAGCTCAGGAATTCCTGGGGGCTCTGGGCTGACCTGTACTGCCTACCATTTTGTTCCCCACCCAGGGAGCCCCACAGCAGCCCCCCTTCTCTGGCCCAGCCCTTCCTGCTCACCCACAATGATGCCGCCCATCAGGGCCATGCCCAGGGTCACCAAGAGACCATAAATCTGGAACTTTCCCTGTGTTCTTGGGGTCCAGTTCGCCTTCGAACCTTGAAAGTCAAAGGAATGGACAAGCCTGGGGTGGAGACAGGGGGCAGGTCAGGGCCCCATGGAGAAGCCAAGTAACCGCTTGCTCTACCCCAAAAATCTGAGCGGGTACCACAGGCCTCAGCCTTCCGATTCACAGCATGGGAACACCGGGCATATTGGTTGGTCTCTAAGACTTCTGGGAAGTGACAGAGGCTGGGGAGAGAGGCCCATGAAACAATTGGTCCAGAGGAGGGAAGGAAAGGGAGAGAGACACAGTCGGGTCCCAGGGGAACAGCAGGAGGAAGGGATGGAGGAGGAAAGGGGATGCTCCACCCCGCCACGCCTCCGCCGCATTTACCCTTCTTCTCCGTAGACTTCCGGGCTGGCGGAGGCTGCCGTCACGGCACCCACGATGCCGCCTATGATGCCGGGAATGCCGTGCAGGTTGTTAATGCCACATGTGTCCTGGATCTGCAGCCGGGACTCCAGGAATGGCTGGAGAGGAGAAGCAGGTGCTGCTCAGGCCGGGGGCTGCAGCAAGGGTGTGGGGGGGACCCTCAAATACTCAGAGACTCAGGGTTCTCTAGCCCTCAGCCCCCTCCCTAGGAACCCTCAGCTCACTGCCAGGAACACAAAGACCTCAGCATTCTCCAGCCCCCAGCCCCTTGCTTGGGCACTTACGGTCAGGTATACAAAACCCAGGGTGGAGAAGATGCCACAGAGGAAGCCGACAATGAGGGAGCCATAAGGCATGAGCATCATCTCAGCAGCGGTACCCACGGCCACTCCTCCCGCAAGTGTGGCATTCTGGATGTGCACCTGGACAGGGCAGGCAGAACGGGCAGGAACTCGGTGCTTTCTTGGAGCACCGGGCCTGGAGGGGCTCACTTACTGGCTAGGGGGGGAGGGGTGCAGCCTGGGCCTGGGAGCCAGGGATGGCTCGGAGTTGACCTCAGCAAGCCAGGAGCATGCAGAGAACTCCAGCCCCCCGCCCAGGCTTGCTACTGCTGCCCTGTGTCTGTCCCTCTGCACACACCGCCCATCCCCCCCAGCAGGTCTGGGCGTTTTCCACATGCTGGTACACCTGCCAGTGAGCCCTGACAGCAGCCTCACAGTTGTTTTATGTGTGCCATGTATACCTGTGTGCCAGACTAGCATGTCTGAATGTTCTTGCCAAGCCTGCAAGTCCACGTCAAGTGCCTATGGGGTAAGACATGCGCACGCACTGGCTGCTGCTGTCTGAGTGCCAACCTGTCCCGGGTACCGTGCTGCTGGCTGTGGAGCTTAGCTCTTTCCATCGCTACAATAAGCCTGCAAGGTGCGGACAGTTACCTTGCAACATTTGCAGATGAGGAAACTGAGGTGAGGGGGGTTAAGTGGCTTGTCCAAGACCACAGAGCTAGCAAGAAGCAGAACAGTGTCTTGATCCAGGCCTTGTGGCCCCAGAGTCCCCGTCCTTGACCCTATTCAATGTCTCTCCCTGCAGATGGGTGTGGATACACACAGGTGTGCCAGTCAGTGTGCCTGATTCTCTTTCCCAGGTACCCGAGTCCACACCTGTCTGCATGGTGACAGTGTCCCCAAATAATGGATACTCCTGACAGCGTCTTAGCACACACATGCCCATGTCAAGATGCATGTGTCAGATTATAACCTACATCGGACACTGTGGCTCATGCCTATAATCCCAACTTCCGAGGCGGGTGGATCACCTGAGGTCAGGAGTTGGAGACTAGCCTGACCAAGATGGTGAAACCCTATCTCTACTAAAAATACAAAAATTAGCTGGATGTGATGGCCTGTGCCTGCAGTCGGAGCTAGTCAGGAAGCTGAGACAGCAGAATTGCTTAAACCCGGGAGACGGAGGTTGCAGTGAACTGAGATCGTGCCACTGTACTCCAGCCTGGGTGACAGAGCAAGACTCTATCTAAAAAAAAAGAAAAAAAAGAAAAATTACAAGATAAAGAGTTTCGTTATTTTTTGTGGAAAAATCTGCCAACTTCTATGGAATTTGGCCCCTCCTATGAATGACAAAAATAGCTGCCATGTGATATGAGGGACATTCTGCAACATGACACTCCCTAAAACTTGCCCAGTTCAGTGGACAAAGCATTCCAGGGGTCGCTTCTCTGAGTGCATGGGATGGGGCAGGTGGGGTGACTGTAGGAAGCCTGGCTGGGCACAGTGGCTCAAGCCTGTGATCCAGGTACCTTAGGAGGCTGAGGCGGGAGGATCACTCGAGGCCAGACATTTGAGACCAGCCTGGGTGACCATAGTGGATCTTGTCTCTACAAAATATTTTTAAAAATTGATCAGGTGTGGTGGTGCATGCCTGTACCTAGCTATTCAGGAGTTGAGGCAGGAGAATCACTGGAGTCTAGGATTTGGGGCTACAGTGAGCTATAATTGTGTCACTGCACTCCAGCCTGGGTGACAGAGTAAGACCCCATCTCTAAAACAATAAAACAGCAGGCTGAGGGCCGGTGCCTGGAGGTTCAGAGCCTGGCAGAGGGGATGCACCCCTAGCAACTCTGCTGGGCAGGCCAGATGCACTGCTCAGCCCATAATAAAATCAGCACCTGGGTTATGGGCAGGATGATGAGGAGTAAGAGCCATTGAAAGAGCTGGACCTCCAAGAATCTCACTCTGGGTGCTGCTGAAAACTGGCCATGTGCTCAAAATGAATCATTTCTCTCCCAGCCTCATCTGCAAGATGGATGTGATGATCCCCTCGGAGCTATGGGCAGGCCATGGTGATGGCACCCTCCAGGCCCAGGCACTCAGCCACACCCCCGATGCCCTATGCTCACCATGTCCAGCTTGCCCTTCTTGTGCAGGGCACTGGATGTTGCCACTGAGGTCAGCACGCAGGCTGCCAAGGAGCAGTAGGTATTGATGGCAGCTCGGTGCTGGCTGTCGCCGTGGTAGGATATGGCTGAGTTGAAGCTGGGCCAGTACATCCACAGGAAGAGGGTGCCTGGTAGACCAGACAGCGCCGACAGACCCGGGGGGAGAGGCATTAGATAGGCCCACGGCTCAGGCAGGCGTCCTGTCTTTTAGCTCTGGAGATGACCCCCACATCCAGCTATCTGCACCAGGAAGTCTACCCTGACCCCTGTTTCTGCGTTAAATGCCCCCACCCTGTTCCCACAGTACCAAGAGGGAGAATCTTTTCTCCGCTATAGGGAGATCCTCCAGGTGGCACTGCTGTCTCTCACTATACTGTGAGGAGCTCCTGGAGGGCAGGGTTGGGTTTTGAGAGACCAGAACAGGCGTGGTCACTGTGTTCTCTGGAATGAATGGACACAGGAAGTGGAAATGCACATCCTGCCCTAGCCAGGGATGGAGTGAGCAGTTCCTGGTTACCACTGTGTCTGCATTGGGACATTCTAGGGGAAATACAGGATGAGTGACCAACTTCTTTCAGCTGCTTGGGGAAGAGGGACAGTCATGTGGGATTCTAGAAGTATCTACAGGCAACCTCTGTCTGCCCTTCCCCCAAAGAGAATTGGCAGCCACCCACCACCACACCATGTGGGGATCAGGTCTGGTCATGGCCACCTTCACCCATCATGGTGGCCCTCAGTCATCAAGGCAGTTCTCACCAATCATGGCAAAGAGGTCCGACTGGTACACAGAACTCTCTCTCTCCTTGCTCTGCTCTAGGTTGCGTCGGTAGAGGATCCGGGTCACTGTGAGCCCAAAGTAGGCGCCAAATGTGTGGATGGTCATGGAGCCCCCTGCATCCTTCACCTGGGGTTCGAGGGGCCTGTCAGACCCTGGCACCTTCTCTCCCTCCCTCCTCATAGCAGTTCCCATCCTGCCACACACACATGCCCAGGGCTCCAGCCTTCTCGGAATCCTCGGTACAGGATGGAGTCTGGGGCCCTCATGGGCCAGTCAACTGGTAATGTGGGGGGAAGGTAGGGATCCCCACCAGCAAAATTCCAGGATGTCCTGACCCAGCAGATGTTGCTGTTCCCAGATGGGGAAACCCAGGCCTGGAGAGGGGTTTGCTCACACCGCTGGAGGAGGAAGGGCAGAGGCAGAACCCAGGGAAAGCCACTGCCTGCTTGCTCACCCACTGCTTTCTGCCTCTGTACCTCTCATTTGACTTCGTCAGGCCTCAGGCTCTCTGTTGACGCCACAGGGGCGATCCCAGTGACTTAGCAGGGCTTTTGTCAGCATTTGTGCAGGGGACTTGCCCCTGGCAAGGGCCTGGTGCTCAAAAGGTGCCTGACTAATGTTGGTCCTCCGCACACTCACCTCCCCTTCTCTTTAACAACCTCCTCCTCCCCATTCACAACCAATCTCAGATGAATAGAATCATAGACTCACTCCTTCACTTTAGATGGGGGAAACCCAGACAGAGAGGTAAATGTGTCATCCAAAGTTGTTGACAGGGCTGAAATTCTCGACTCCCGGCCTAGCAGATGCCTCTACTAGCTGTGTGACCTTAGGTGAGCCACTTAACCTCTCTGAGCCTCAGCTTCCTCATCTATAAAATGGGGGTAAGCCAGGAGCGGTGGTGGCTCATGCCTGTAATCCCAGTACTTTGGGAGACTGAAGCAGGTGAATCACCTGAGGTCAGGAGTTTGAGACCAGCCTGGCTAACATGGTCTCTACTAATAAAGTACAAAACTTAGCTAAGCATGGTGGCATGTGCCTGTAATCCCAGGTACTTGGGAAGCTGAGTCATGAGAATTGCTTGAACCCGGGAGGCAGAGGTTGCAGTAAGCTGAGATTGCACCACTGCACTCCAGCCTGGGCAACAGAGCAAGACTCCGTCTCAATAATAATAATAATAATAATAATAATAATAATAATAATGAAATAAAATGGGGGTAATAATTGCGCCTAGGTCAGAGCTAAGGATTAAGAGTTAACCCATGGAAAGTGTGCACATTGGGGCCCAGCAAAGGGCCAGTGCACCTTACATGTGAACCATTACTGTGTTTCAACTTGAAGAGAGGCTGAAAGACTGTCATGTGTTAAAATAATTTCTGTAGTAGATTGGGGAGGGGTTTTGAGGGCATTAGAGCTTTCTCTGCCTTTTTTTTTTTGGACGAAGTTTCCCTCTTGTAGTCCAGGCTGGAGTGCAATGGTGTGATCTTGGCTCATTGCAATCTCTGCCTCCTGGGTTCAAGTGATTCTCCCGCCTCAGCCTCCTGAGTACCTGGGATTACACGTGCCCGCCACCACGCCCAGCTAATTTTGTATTTTCAGTAGAGATGGGGTTTCTCCATGTTGGCCAGGCTAGTCTCGAACTCCCAACCTCAGGTAATCCGCCCAACTCGGCCTCCCAAAGCGCTGGGATTACAGGCCTGAGCCAGCACACCCGGCCCTTTCCTGCCTCTTAACTCATCCCCAAGATACCACCTTATCAGCCTGTTTCCGATCTCAGCGACTGGCCCCACAGCCTACCCCTGAACAAGCCTCTGTCCTCCCTCTCCCTTGTCCCACCCCACGCAGCCTCCAAGGCCATTATTCTCCTCCTGGTGGCTCCTGGCTCCTCCACTTGTTCCCACTGTGCTAACCCAGTCTTAGTCCCATGATCTGTCACCACAGCAACCAGGACAACCTCTTAAGCTGGGACTTCTGCCTCCCAAACGTTCTTGTCACCCTAGAGAAAGCGGTGTTTCCTTTATATGTGTCTGACCACATCACTCCCTGCTGACCTCCCCGCTGCCCTCATTTTTGAGGGCTGGGTACCCTGTGCTCCCCCTCACCCGTCACCCATGACCTCCCTCTCAGCACAGCCCTTTTCCAGCCACAGCCACTGTGGAGCCCTCGCTGTGCTTCTGTCTCCAGCCCTGTGTACTCGGGGTTCTTTCTGCTTCGAATGCCCTCACTTGCTCCTTCGCCTGCTGAGCTCCTACGTGACTTCTGGCTTTGACTTCTCCTCCAGGGAGTCTCACTGACCTGCCAGGCTGCTTTGGACTCTCTCCTCTGGGCCATTGAGCCCTTGCCCCTTGATGTGCTTCTTACCACAGCACGGGCTCACTGCCGATGTACTTCCTGGTTCCCTCATCTGACCGTGAGCTTCTAGGGGCTAGGGTTAGGGTTAGGCCAGCCCCACTCACCTCTACCCCCTAGAGCCCAGAGCATTCCCTGACATGCAGTCAGACTCCTATGTAGACACTGGGCTAGGTGCTGGGGAGAGAGATGGTCCAGGTGGCTAAGGCTTTCTTCCCTTCGCAGATGAAATAAATGCAACAGAGAAAATACACCAGGGTAGTGTGAAAGCAATGGGAGGGATGAGATAGAAGGGGACACTGTCTAGAGAAAGCCTGCAGGGCTTCTCTTAAGACAGGATACTCAAGGCCGAGCACGGCAGCTTACGCCTGTAATCCCAGCACTTTGGGAGGCTGAGGCAGGCGGATCACTTGTGGTCAGGAGTTCAAGACCAGCCTGGCCAACATGGTGATACCCCGTCTCTACTAAAAACACAAAAATTAGCCAGGCATGGTGGCTTGCACCTGTAATCCCAGATACTGTGGAGGCTGAGGCATGAGAATCACTTGAACCCGAGAGGCAGAGGTTGCAGTGAGTTGAGATCGCACCACTGCACTCCAGCCTGGGCAACAGAGTGAGACTCCATCTCAACAACAACAACAACAAATGAGAGAATGTGCACACTGAGATTCAGTAATGCAAAGGACTGAGAGATGACCCTTGTAGGCAAAGGGAACAGCCAGGGAACAGGCCCGGAGGTGGGACTGAGCTCTGTGCCTGAAGAGCAGACAGCAGGCTATGGTGAAGCACAGGAAGATGGGGAGACGGCAGACAGCAAGTGAACAGGAAAGTTGGTGCCAGAACAGGAAGGGCCTTATAACAAGTTGGTGTTTTCTCCTGAATGAAATGTTAAAACCGCTGATAGATGTTCACTGGGTGAATGGTCTTCTATGCATTATTTATAGGCTGCTCTGGCTGCTGGAGGTGACTTGCCTTAGGGACAAGGAAGGCAAGAATCCAGGAAGGAGGAAGAGATGTGGTAGCTTGGACTAATGCGGTAGATGAAAAAAATGATGAAATGAATGACTGAATTTAGGGTGACCTAAATCAACGCCTTCCCAGTAGAGGGAGTTCCAGACAGAGTCCAAATGTAGCGGAGGAGGCAGCTAAGAAAAACATGCCGTTTCTGTGTGAGAGCCCCTACTATCCAGAGGCACCAAGGAGGCTTCTGAGACACAGTCAAAGGTCTCAGGTGCCCCTTATCTGAGCCGCCGAAGTGACCTCCCCCCGGGAGCAGCCCTCCTGGCATGATCCACGTGAATGGCAGCTCTGGGTTGCGTAGCACACACCATGGCCGCCTTGACCATCCACCGGGGATCCGGCCCTATAGACCTGCCCCTCAATACACTGGATCCCTTTTCTTGGCAGAGCAATCTGCAAATGTGGTACGTGTGCAAGAGAATGTGCAGAGATAGCCTACTCCTTCCACCTGATGTGCGGGGAAGAAAGGAGGGGAAAAAACCACATTCAAAGAAGCCCTGCTGTGCCCAGGTGCTGGGTTGATCTGCCAGGTGGACTATGGTACCTGCCTGGTAGATAACATGACTCCCACTTTAGAGATGAGAAAACTGAGTGACGTTCAGGAGGCTGGCACGTCTCCCCAGCCATCCCTTCCTCCGAACCCCGCTGTCCCCCAAAGCATCCCCTCCACCCCATCCCCATTCTGAGCCCCTCTCACCTGCAGCAGGTTAAGCAGAATGAACTCATTCACAGCAAAGAGGGTCACTTGGAAGAAAGTCATGATGAGCAGCTGAATGGGGCTGACTTTACCCAGAACTGCACCGAAGGCCACGCAGACAGAGGCCACACAGAAGTCAGCGTTGATGAGGCTGTGAGGAGACAGGCCAGTGGGGAAGCTGGGGCAACAGCAACAGGAGGCACTGGAAGCCCTGGACTTTGGTCATATATGGATTTGGGCTTGCGGCTTAACCTTTCTGAGGCTCAGTTTCATTCTCTACACTAATGGGCACCTAACATTTGGGGCTGCTCCAAGAATTAAACCACACATGAGACAGGCCCAGTCCAGCAGCACAGTCTAGGTTCCCCACCCCATGCAGCCCCACCTCAGGCCCCCACTGCTTGCAGGCAGCTCAGGCTCAGGCACCCGTGTGGTCTGGCTGTTACTGTTGAACATGCCCCATATTTGGGGTCCTGCCCTGCCCCATAGCTTCTATCTGCTATTCTAGAACCTCCTCTCACTGCCTCCTCTTTCAGGAAGCCTTCCTGATTCCTCCAACCAGACGCAGTTTCTGCCTCCAGATCCTTCTCTCTCACTCTGCACAAACCTGTTTGTTGGTGACCAGGGCCTTGCTTGAGTTTGAGCTATTGGGACCTTCCCTTTACCTTCTCCATGAGAGAGGATCTATGTCCAGGGAAGAGACAGAAGGGCCTTCCTGCAGGAAGGAGGGAGCTGGGATGGTACTGGATGGAAGGAGGGGGCAGGAAGGCCAGCAGGGAGAGTGGAGGCAAAGGGGCAGGTACATAGGTCCTGCTCAAGCCTGAGCCCTAAATACCTGCCAGCTTGGCAGAAGGCTGATGAAGAGGTGACAGCTGGATGGACATTGTGTAGACCCTGGTTCCATCCATGTGCCTGCTTTGCCCAAGCTGGTCCTCCTTGTTCCCTGCCAGCAGCAAAGCTGTCCTCTGGAGTCCAAGGCAAGACCCTCAGTGTGGCCTCAGGCCAGAAGAGTTGTTAGTGGGCTGGGTGTAGTGATAAAAGCGGCTAGTTCCTCAAGGCTGTCACATTTAGAGTGGACTCCCTTACCCTTCCATGCTCAGGGCTGTGTGTATG